GCGGAAGAAAAGGGCAAAACAAAATCAGGTGAGAGCAATAATGGAATTTTTTTTCCTTCATAGGCAAATTCAAATCATCGTAAAAAGAGCGTGGCTAATACGAATAGTAAATTCTAAGAAAAGCGATGAAAACAGTTTCAACTAAGCTTGAAATCTGGGCTGTTCAATAACAAAAGCGTTTCCATGCGTAACGAGTGATCATCGCAAAGTTTGGCTGCTTTTTTTTTTTTTTGGTTGGTGCTCTGGCTGTGAGAACAATAATTACGCGTTCATAAATGTCCAAAATGAATGGTTTAAATTTAATCACACAACACTTGTGTTTTTTATAAATATTAAGAATCGTTATTATTATTACTATAAAAAATAAACGTGCGATACACAAAAAAATGCTCCTTATCTGATCATTGGAGGAAAAAAAGCGAAGCGCGATTAATCGAAATTTCCAATCAATAACCCGAAATCAATAATTAATAATTGAGCACTAAGTATCACGATGCGGCGCGTTCCGAGCGCGCTTAAAAGTTAAAATTAAAAATTACTCCAGCTCGGCGCGCCGAACAAAAACAAAAATATCAATATTGAACCGCCGTGCCGCGCCGCGTGTTTGGGGCCAGCCTCGCGGGATAACAACAAGCGAGAGAGAAGACGAAAATTAAAAATTAATGTTTGATGCGGCTGTTAAAAATAAATTACAAATCGGTGCTGGGCTGCGCGTTTGGCCAAAAATGGGAGGCGTTTGTGACACGCCGTTTCGATTAATTACGTTCGATAATGCCGCAGACCGTCGATGTATGAAAAAAACCACCTCACGCTCGATAACAATTTGTGATATTAATTACGTACAAATTAATAGAAATATAAAGATCGACCCGACTGTGTTTACAGAGGCTTAAAGTGTAAAAATCCCGACGGATAGCAATTACGTTCGCATTCGCTTCATAAATCATGTGGTTCTTTATTAAAAATTAATGATAGATATTTGTTGCTGCGGCCACATTCGGAAATTAATTTTACACTCGTGACACATCAAGTTCTACAGGATAATAATTTATTGATAGATAGATAATTTTAATTTCTTCAAGTCGGCAACACATCGATGAGTAATCATTCTCGGGAAAACTTGCTACTCGGAATTTTTATTCAAAAAAATGTAAGAATTAATGATTTTAGGCAACAAATACATGCCTACTTCAAATGAATCTAAAATTGGCGTGTAACAAAAATCTGTGGTACTACTGTTGTCTCTAACTGATTATCCAACAATATTTTGCTTTTTCAAAACGATGCGTCGTTGTCCCTCTTGAAAACCGAATTTATTTTCATGGATGTTTCAATTTTGTGAACTGAATTTGCATGAAAATAAAATTTGGACGCCATGAATGCCCGTATTTTACGACGCGCGTCGACAACAAAGCCACCACATCAGATTTATCACATGTTTGTTCAATAAATAATCATACCAACAATCACATTCCTTCCGTATTAAGATATTGATAATGAGCATGAAATTATGCTCGCCTGACATTATGATATTAAAATGCAAAACAAAAAAAATCACAACGCTCTATATAAAGTGGTGAGTTATGATAGCTTTCATACATGTGTACTGATTTCGATTGAAAGGTGCTTGATTGAAATCGACATTGCACAACTTTTCACACTTAGGTAAGTACCTAGTGCAACGCTTACAATTAATTTCGGCGAGATAATTACGGTTTTTAATTAAAAGTCAATCAATTCAACGCCTTGTTTTTTTCTCTCTATCGCCGTTTATGGTCTTCGCCCGTCGTGTACAATTCTCTATTATATTAACTACTAATCTATCATTGAGTTAATCAATTGGTTAAACGGTTTCTTAATCGGACGGGCCGGGCCAATCCTATTTTTATTCCAGCCTCACACGTTTATGAATTTAATGCAAGTCGTGTAAATGTCTTTAATTTATTTTTGGTTACATTAGCTACTATTATAAATTTTCATTTAATTATTGTTTATTCACATCAAAACATTTGGATCTTTTGTAGCACAATATTTTTATTCATTGTGGCGGGTTTTCATGGCCCGTTAAGTGTCTATGGCAGCGCTCGTTCACTCAGCGCTCTGAAAGTGATAATTAAGCGTTTGATAATTAATTAACAACACTCGTTATTCGTTTAATTTAATGTTACACAATGCGGTCGTGCGTATTCTTTGGTTTTTGCTTTGACTTCAGCATGTTGAAGAATGTTTGAAAGATTAATCAGACACGGATTTAATAAAATCAATCAATATTTATAGGAATTGATTAAATTCGATGTAATTTAAGCTGGAATTAATAAATAATGAATTTGTGGAAAATTTAGCTAGATTTGAGTGTAATAAATGCATGTTTAAAGTCCAACCCTGAGTGGAAATATCGCCTGGAATATACTTGTAAATACCCATCGAAGAACTCATTGTGAAACGTGTTGGATCGATTGCATCTCCGACTCCGGGCCAGGCCTGCCTCATCGGATTGGCTCCGGAGTGTCAGACACCTTTAACCGGCGAGCGGGACCGAGCGAGAGCACTAAACGATTTAGATTTATTATTTTATAATTAATAGGTCGAGAACATGAACATGAGCGATGCAGCGCGAACCGCGCTCCGAGAGAACAAAAGGGCGAGGAAAAACAATAAGAACAAGAAACCAGCACACAAGAACACAGGATCGCGAAGACGCAAACCTTGGTAAATTGGTAAGGTAAGTAGTTTCAGCTGCAAAATTGAAATTATGCTTGGAATTTGATTTTTCGCAGATAAAATTAACAAACATGAGATTTGTTTTTTGATTCTTTCGCACAGTGTATTAATTTTTTGTTGCAATGAGTTGTAAAGTTTTAAGTTAGAGTGGAGTTGTGCGCAAAATAAATAAAAGTTTGCGTAAACTCGCAACCTCAGCACGCGGGGCTCTTAACACACTTTTGCTTTTTGCTGGCGCGCTGTTTTTGCGGCAGCTTTTGAAAGTTAAAGTTGCGTCGTAAAGATAAATGTAATATTTTAATTATGTAACTCCGAAGCTTTTGCGCGCCGCCGCGGTGCAAAGCTCGCACCGGTGCACCGGCTGTGGCATCAACAATTTGTTAAATTTACAACGTCAATGTGCCGTTTATTTGTATTATATTAATATCAAAGTTTTGCTTCCTTAATTTCACCGGCTAACTATTAGAAGACATGTGTGCCAAATTCGATATGCGCGCGGAAAACTAGAAACTAGACTATGATGCGATTGTGTCCGCGCGTGACAATGCACGAAGAGAAAAGACATTTTCACCGCTAGACGCTGTGTTTCTGTTGCCGGTTTTGCCGCGTTTTTGTTCGCGCATCTGTTGCTCGGCTTTTGTAGCACCTCCGCGAACGATTTCCGCGCATTTATTTACACAGCAATATCAGTTATCAATCGGACGTTATTCAATCGCGCACCGCGGCATCGGGAACAACCGTTGCGCGCCGCCGCCGATTTCATAATTGCAAATGATTGTAATGATTAATATCGCGCGCTGGTTTTCGATTCGAACGGTTGCGCTAACCGGCATTGCTTCGTGAAATTTTCGCGCGGCCGTTCGCACGATCCGTTTTCTCCGCGCGCTGACTCTTCGGCGGCTTTTTCGCCACCTCGCCGCAATCAATACATAATGCGGCGATTATCATTTTCAGCCGGTTTGCGGCCGCCGAAGAACAATGCGCGCGGACGCGGATTGTCGAACGGTTAAACTTAATTAAAACGCGTTTGTATTCTATTTACCGTGATAAACGTGATAAATGCACCAGTGACAGAACAATAAAATAACTACAATCGGCGATTTGTTTTGTTCGCGTCGCCGGTGCGCTGCTTTGATCAAGTTATTCGCGCGCATGGTCGTCGGTCGACATCTATCGAGATTTTCACCAGTTTTCCTATGCGTTTCGCGCCGACGAAGTGGTTGAACATCATGACCACACTCGATCAACATTATAAAATACCCTTTGCAGTTTCGATACGCCGCACACACATCACAGTTTGCAATAAAAGCAATAAAAACTAAATAAAAAAGAAGTTAATTGTAAATTTAATAGATTGGCGTTTTTTCTTCTAACTACTACTTTAGTACTAAAGTGACGGTTGAGTGACGTCCGTATAAAAATTATAAATCATTATTTTTGTTCAATTATTTAAGTATTGAACAAGCAACGCGCTGTTTCTATTTAACTTATTGTCCGCTCACCGACACAAACAAATGTCAGTAATACACAGATACAAGAATTTAATGCATAAAGTGCATCCTAACGTCATCTATGCTCAATTCATAAAATTCTCTTTTAGATAACGTGCACGATATGTTTACACAGATCCGACTATCTCTATTCTTGCAATGTGCACGCGCAGAAACAGAAACAACTTGGTTCACACAACAAACCATTATTTAATACCAATAAGTGCATCCTTGCACCATCTACGTTCACACTATATAACTAAGTTTCACCAATTGATTCTTTACACAAACTTTCATTGCATTTTTACTCATTTCATGTTCTATTATAGCAAGAAAAAGCTGTCTGTAGTCTTTATCACTATCTAAATTACCATTATGCCAAATTTCATCAAAAAGATGCAATAATGTACGCTTGAAAATAAATTAGCCTTATTTTGTACATATTTATCATTCATGCATAAAATTTCGATTGATATTCACTTTTATTGTGACTCACATATCTATACTTGTTAAACACACCGCATGTGCAAGCGTGCTATTCTTATCTATTTATTTTCTGTTGATATCATATCCATCTTTACCCGACTTTCAGGTTTAGAGATAGAACGCATGCGATTTTGTTGGCAAACTTGTATTAAAATCTCAATTCACAACCACTAGCGTCCTCTGCCGATGAATACACTAACTAACATGCGTTACAACTGTAGCACAGCTATTCTCATTTTGTTACTTAAACGAAATAAATGATGTTACGCACGTAAGTAACGAATTCAAAAGACGACAAATCAATTAAAAAGTGGCAAACATGTGTGTATGTATTTCACATTTCTCAATATCTATAACAAGGTTGCGAACAAATATTGCTGTTGAATGTTATCACCTTCGAAACTATAAAGTCTGTCGATAACAGTGAATTAGGAACTACGAAATGAAGATTTACACAAACAGTAATAAATCAAAACAGCTAACGTGATGATGCGATGATCGAAACTTAAACCTTACCGACTAAGTGAATGTTACAAAAGTAAACTAAAAATGTTCTAGTAAAAAATTAAGTTAATTAAGTTGATCAAGTGTGAATCTCAGTTGATTTAATACAAAATACAAGAATCAATGTACAACTGATCCTTAATTGTTTTTGGTTTGTTTGGTTTAGTTTTGGTGTAATTTGGAAAATGTATGGAAGTAAAGCTGAATACGAAACGAAAGTTACACGTCGTCGTCGTCTTCGTGACGCGAGAGAACCTGCCAAACATCGTTGCGGTCCGACATGGCTTCCTTCTGCTGCAGCAGCGTCTCTTTCAAAAGTATCAACGACTCCTTCTCGCTCTGCAGGTTCTGAATGTTTTTGAGTTGACGCTGCCTCTCGACGCTCTGCTTCGCGCGCAAGCGGTCACATTCCTGCGTCTGGTAATATATTTGTGTTTCTACCTAACGAACACACAAACTATTATAGAAAACAATTGAATAAGTTAAAAACAACGTCGCAAATTTTAGCTTTAATACCTTGAAGTAGTCCCTCGCAATAGATTTGTGTTCCTCAAAGAGGCGTACGCTTTGCGGATCGGAAAAGTCAGGCGTTGCTGGTCGCAAATTCGGATCCAGACACATGTACATGTTGTCCAGATCAGGATCAGCCTTGTCGGTATCCGTCGGAGTGGTGCGGCCAGCCTGAACAATGCTGGTTTTACCTAAAACCAAACAAAACAGGAAAAATGTTATAAAAGTTCACGGAAAAACAACCCGGAAGTAATATTATGATGCAAGGTGGTGCAATTAGGTGAGGGTCGCGACGCGTGTTACCTTTGTCAGTCTTAGTTTCTTTGTAAATGATCCAACTGCAGTGCGTCTCGTGCGTGGTGAAGACGCCGGCGATCGGGCAGTGCACTAGGCCCTTGTACATGATCGCGGCGCACGCGGGCGCGCAATTTCGTTGGCGTGAGCTGCCTGTGTTAGCCTGCGTCCCTACGTTCGAGGGCTGAAGGTGCGTGGCGTGCGTTGACTCGACGGCGACTATCGGCAGCAGGAAAGGCGGTCGCGCGCGGCAACTCCGCACCGTCCAAACAAAACGGCGCGCGTGTAAATTTAGACACGGCGTGACTCAGTGCGGGCACTCAAGGAGCGCTTCCCCGCGGCGGCGGCGTAAGCTCGCAATAACAATTTGCGCGCTTTGCGCGAAATAACAAACGGGCGCCGCCGCCACCGCCGGTACTCCCGAGCGTTTGATCCAAATTGAACTTGACCCAAAATTTAAATTGGAGCGCACGCCTGATCTATTGATATACGGCGTGAGTCACGCCGCGTTGAGCAATCCTTAACTTTGTCATCTTTGATAATCATCCAAACAATTAGATCGCGGCGCCGAGCTTAATTAATCACGGCAACTTTTCGGTGACTCACCGACATTTTATCCTGCGCGAGCTTTACGAGTCCGCGACAAATCCGAGCCGAGAGGAAATAAGCGAAACGCCGTTGCATAAACATTTTGCGCGCGCGCGGCCGATATTTTCGTCGCGTAGGGCCGTCCCCGCGTGCCCGAAAATAACAACATCGCGCGCCGCCGCCCGTAAATAATACGGGCTTTTGTTATTATGTAAATCCGATGCTGTTGGGTCTGGCGTAGGCTGACTCACCGAAGCCAACGGCCTCAACGAAAATACGCATCGCGGCAAGAGAGTGCATCCGAAAGCGCGCGTCCTTCGCGCGTGCACCACCGCCACCCCACTTACCGTGCTGCTTCCATATCATCTTGTCGAAACCGGGCCGCATCTCCAGCTCCATATCAGCGTCCTCGGCCAACGTCCAGCTATTCTGTAACAGAATTACACCGACATTACTGCGACGCGACATTCATCAGAGAACGTGTACAACATTAAATTTTCTTTTATGTTCGAATTTATTTCGGTGAATAGCGATTCCAAATCGAACATTTATTACTGTTTTCGGAGCGTGCCAGAACCGCGCACCGGGAATTTACGAGTGAATGTCAGCCAATTCCACTCGGCATGCATGAAAACGCGCACATTGAAGTTTTCCGTCCGAATCTATTAAAGTTGAGACGATTTTAACAATAGAGAACGTTATTTACACAGCGTATTGAGTTTGCAAGCATTACTTCAGTTACTTTATTAATATCACTGACAGCATACTCTTCAAATGCTCAGGCATGACTGTTTTAAACTGTTTTCGTGTTTGACTTACAGGATCCACTTGAACATTTAGCTGCGTGGACATTTCGGGCGTCGGTTGCGGCAGGCTCTGCTGCTGCATGCTTCTTTGGCTGTGCGTGCACTGCATCGTGTCATCGGCGTGAATACCATTCTGTGTGAAAAGCACGGAACTGTCATCCATCTCATCGATGTCCTCCAGGTCTTCTTCGTCTTCATCGATCAGTTCATCATCGCTGAGGCGTGTCACCGGTTGACAACAATCCGGAAATAATGAGACTAGTTTTTCCATTAAACTAACAATCTAAACACAACAATAAAAAAGTTTTTTGTTCAAATTTTGATAGAACGGTGAGTACCAAAGAAATTTTTCAAATTTTCACTGCCTTTTAGCAATAATTTAATTTTTTTTTAGCAAAAACCATAAAATTCTTCATTCAGGACCTGCAAATTCCACAAGCAAACAATTGTGAACTTCAAATTCAATTACACAGGTCCTAAACAAAGAATTAGTGAAAAAAATATCAATTTAGTCAAATTTTCAAGTTTTCTTGTGATAAATCAAATTATCTCTCTTTAAAAATAAAATATTTACTTCAGACATGTTCGGCCGATTGATAGCGGTGCCATCCCAACACCTGACGATCAAATCCTCGATGACCGCCGGGCAGTCAAGGATTAATGGCGGCCGTTTGCCCTTGTACACCGACCACATGATCTGCAACGCGTTGAGCCCATTGTAGAACGGCTTTTTACGCGTGAGCACCTCCCAGAATATGATGCCCCACGAGTATACATCGCACTTCTCCGTATAGTTGTTAGTGGAGAACACCTCCGGAGCCATCCACGCCGCTGAACCCTTCTGATTCGTCATGTACGTCGATTTGTCTGCCGCCGTACCAAAATCGCAAATCTTCAGTTGCACGCCGCTGTTAACGAGCAGGAGATTCGGCGGCTTCAAATCGCGATGTATCAGTGGTTTCGGTTTCATATTGTGCAGGTAATTCACGCCCTACAAGAAGAAGTGCTGTACTATTCTGTGTATAAAAAGTTGATTAATGGTACTGCTTTCTGTACCTTTGCACATTGATACACCCAGGAGAGTGCATGGCCTAAATTATATTTAATATTCTTGGCACTGTGGAGAATGTAGAAGAGTGAACCACCCTCTGCATACTCCATGACCAAGCAGAAGTGTTGATCGTCAGTGCAAGCACCATACAAATGGATGATGTTATCATGGCTGACTCTTGACAGCTGCCGGACTTCAACAGTAAATGCCTTGCGTTCCTCCTCGGTGGAGTAGGCCTTGATCGCGACGGTCTTGTTGCGCCACTGGCCTAGGTACACCTTTCCGAAGCTCCCCTCGCCGACGAGCTGCTGCCGCGAGATCTCCTTGTAGTTGATCTTCTGGATGAAGCCTGATTGCTCATTGTCCATAGTCCTCACCGACATCACATTATCGTGCGGCTGGCGCTAGCGCGCGGCGAGGGCGGGCCCACCTGCTCCGCACAGCGTGAAAGACACAAGGGCAGAACACACGCAGTAATTAGTATAACTTTCGACGCGGAATTCGGAATTTGAGGAACGATTCGACGCTTGTAGGTTAGAAACTGACGTCAGAATCGTTCCGAGCGAGGTCAAATTTCGCGTAAAAAACGGCGGAAAAATACCTTCAGAATGCTGGCAGGCGCGTGCAACGATCTATTTCATGTGATGAGGGCGGCGCGAACGCTCAACGCTCATTTTTAACGGGTAAATCTGGAATAATACTTCAGTTTTTCAACATTTTCAGGATAGTGACATTTCGACGGCTTCAAAACGTCATTTAAGTTGCCTATTATCTTATCAACAACTTAAATAATAAAAGAAAATTATAGTTATTTAAATTATTTACACAAGTACAAAAACTATTACTTATATTAAATTATAAATTGTAAACATAAATGAAAATAATCTTTATTGTAGTATAACTTATAAAAATTTAAGTTAGCATTGTAAGTAATGGTGGTTGCCTAGTGCGAAAACGTCAAATTAAGTTTTGAAAGTTTTCGAGTCTTCATCACACAAGTTCGAAGTAAAAACGGTAAGACATAATATAAAACAAGCGAAATAATGCAACAATGAATTCTTTATTAAGTCAAAATAATCACCAGTAAGAATAAACTCATTTAATCAATCGATAAATACTTAAATATATTATTGTGGGCAAAGCCTGTAGGTGCAGCGGGCAGTTTTTCCGTCGGGACCGCAAGTGCACTGGTTGCACTTATCCATGAACCTTTCTCCAGGAGTGCAGTTGTCAGGTGTAGGTGCAGCACGACGCCTGCGACCTTCCGGTGGGCAGGCACGACGTGTGCAGGCGAATTTGCCGTCAATACATCTGCACGAATTGCAACGCTCCTGCTTCACTTCGCCCGGTTGGCAGGAATCGTCGGGACTCCTGCGTTGATGATGGTGCGATGGGCAGGCCATCTGCGTGCACAGCCAATTACCGTTACCGCACTTGCAGGTATTGCAATCCAATTTCTTTGTTTCACCCTGCGTGCAGCCATCATCCGCCCCTGAATCGCAAAATTTCAAATTAAATTACCCCAAACAAAAACAAACAAACAAAAGTAGGTAGAAAATACTTACAAACGCAGGCGATCACTGCAACGCACAGAATTAAAACGAACGACTTCATCTTTGAAACTTTTTTTTTGCGCAAATACGATTTGTCAAAAACTGATTGGATTTGTGGACGCGCGCAGCGTATTTATACCGACGTTGCGATCGCAAAGTGGGATTCCGTGTTAATTCGTAAATCAAATCTTAGGAAAGACCTTGACTCGCCTGCTGGAAATGTTGTAGTGTGTTTTTTTAGTCGCACTAGAATGTGGATTATCCAGAATAAATAAATAAACAATATTTAACGCGCCTGTGGTACTTAGAAATTATACTTGATGATAACCCGCATCATCCAAGGTTCACCGAAATAATGTTCATTTCAGTTGATGTGTATCTGTATCAATTCCAGCGTGGCATGCGCTCCAAATAACGATCTAATAACAAAACACGGCATGTTTGTGTTGTGATTGCGATTATCGCTTCGTTATGAAACGATTTATCTGGAACTATTGATTTTAGTACAATATGGCGTCTTGAATCTAGGCTTAGATCATCTTGATGTTAATTTATTGTCTCAATAGCAAGTGGAGGAGCACAGACGTGAAAAAAAGTTTGAGAAAAATTCTTGTTTAAAAGTTTCACAAGCATTTACTTTAAATTTATTATCAAGTAGATAATTTTATAGAAAATATCTATTTTCCGACCGGAAAATCATGGCGGAAACGATATTTGTGCACAAACAGAATAGAAAATATATAAAACTAGTCATAATAGTGGCATTCGATAACATTTTTCACATATTTCATCATTTTACGTATAAAAATAAGTGTTTAATGTTTCAATGGTGACATTAAAACTAAATTGTTGCATTTATAAACAAAATACACTCATTACATGAGAATAAATCCATTTATTAAAGTTGACAAGCGGTGTCTAACGAATTATCTTAGTTTAAAAATCTATTACATAATTTTGATGAAATAACAAAAAACTTAAAGGCACTCTAAGTTGTTTAAAACAAATGTTTGCGTTTCATGTCATTAATGGCACCGCTATTGTTAACAGGCCGCTTGATTAATTGCATCTAGCTGATGCAATTGACCGGCAGAGATGAGCCGCAAAATAGAGAAAAAAAAAAGAAGCTAAAAACTAAACCGGTTTTCGTGTGTATTGACACTGGACGTGTCCGGTTTTACATAATACTAAGAAAATTTATAATACTCAATCAACATATGCATTATGTGGAAGGATAAGACGATGGCAACGAGGTCACGACTAGTCCAAATCTCACCGTTGTGTACAATGCAAATAGAACAATCTTAAACAATACAACTTAAATCTAAAACTATGCGAATATTTCGCAAAATGCTTTAAGCCTGGAGCGAGTTGAAGGCATCCGCGTGTTTTTGTAGAATTACGTCAGTTTGTTGGCGGAGGTGTCCCACCACAACTGGCAACACACTTTGTTGGTGAGTGTTGAACGAGATGTCACAGTTCAACTCGTCCAAGTCGACGAACGAAATGCTGCAAACAAAATCATCCAAGGTATTAGCATCAAGCTGCAGTTTGACAGATGAAACGCTTACTCAAGTTCGGTCAGATCAACAAGCACACGGCATTGACGATTGTCGCCAAGTTTTAATGTTTGGAACTTGATATTGATGCGGTTGCGATCGGGCTGAATCTTCAATGCACCTTTGACCTGAACTTCTGAATCGTGCTCAGGCGTAATAACGCATTCGGTGATCACAAACTGAAACATTTCCAATCGTTAGCAAGTGCAGTACATGCAAATATTTATTAATAACAAAAGCGAACTTCCTGGAAAGCAATAGATACAAATAACAAGCGCCATATGAATGCATATAATGAAAACATGGTGTCTTACAACACCAAGTCATAACATGTTGATAATGATTTGTTCAATGCTTGTGACGTAAACAAGCCAAACAAAATTGCTAAAATGAAATACGTTGTTAGGTAAACTACAAAACGGTGATGAGTGCTTTGAATTAGTTCGTTGTAAAACTTAAAAGAAATTAATTTTAAGCTTTCGGTGCTTGATTTTAATTTGTTTTGAGTTTTTAAGTTGTTGGAAGCAGGAGGAACTCAAACCAAAATGGCGGACGGAATTTATGAATCAAGTAATGTCACAGGAAATGAATTTTCACCTGTTTCGAACTTCCAACATACTATAACGATTCGATATGACTATAAAATAAGAGGAAATGATTGGTAAATACCTTAAAATCTTGAATCGAAGTCGACGCATAAACAGATGATTCAACATCGTTGTCAAACCAACTCGCATCATGCACTCGACGAAGCGAGCTCATGTTTTTCAACTCGTGCGAAACGGCCTGAAAGTTAAAGATAACCCCCCCGGTTGAGAAGCGACCCTTAAAGTTTGTTTTGGCACAGCCTCTCACCACATCAACAAACTGTTTCAATTTTTCATCAAAAATATTATTCGCCATTTGAATGCGTTCCAGCTCAAAAGCCATATACTTTTCTGGTTCATCCAGAAACATCTCGCCGAACGAATACTCCACTACATTACCGCTGAGCGTGCGCGCAAAATTGCGCATCACAAACTCGTATAATTCAATCCAGAACAAATTTACCATTGTTTCGACCACATCGGAAGACACATCTACGATATCTTCCGATGAATCGTTATACGTGATTAGCGTTTTAATTTCTTTGGGCAAAAGCTTAATGTCATAGTTGAGCGGGACAAAAGAATCTTCCCGTCTGAATAAACCTACTCGACCAGATAAAAGAGTGCCATAGATACTAAACGTGACCTTGGCTTCTGCTTCGCCGGAATAGTTCGCTTCGACCGTCAGTTCTTTTAGTTCATAGTCGCAAATTACGCATTCCTGCAGTAAATCCACCTTGGTCTGGCCGGATTCAATCAGCACGGGCGTGATTAACGAAATCATCGTTAATTCCCTAAAAGTCAATCAGAATTTTATGCTGAGAAACAAAATGGTGAATATATAGTTCTGGTTGCATTTAAGTCAGAACTTTGGAAATGATTTCTAAATTTGGTAAATTAATCAAATACTTACACATTACTGGCATAAATACCGTCAGGAGCGGATACATTCTGGAAGGTCTTAGGAGTGAACTTCCTGTTGACATCTCTCAAGATATCATTTTCCATATTCTAAGGTTGAAACAATATATTAATGACGTGACGCCATACTTATTTATATTTTTCGTGATCTCACCCTATTGAGATTCTGCTGGAAGTTACTCTGAATGTCCAGCAATGTAGTACGATATTCTGCATCGAAGTGCTTGCCGATGTCCATTTTTCCAAAAAAATTGAAATTCTGTTGAGGAGACAAGATTGAGTAATATGTGTTCACTAGTAGAAACACCTAGAGAACCATTACTTTTCAGTATGTGTTGGAAAATGTTATAATGATAAATTCGCAGAAACTTACACGTCCTTGCGTCGCAGTGAATCACCCAAGAATGATCGCTGGCAGGTTATAAATGTTAACAAGAAACAAATTCTAACAGAATGCAAACGCCTACTTAGTTGCATATGATTATAAAACAAAAGTGGCCTGCTTTGATTCGATTGGATCAAATTTCTGACATGATTTTCATAGCAAGCCGCGATTCAAATTTCATTAATATATTTTCATTTATATCCACAAAATTTGCGGTCAAGAAATTTGCCAAAATGGTCGAGCCTCAAATGACAATTTTTTTAAATACGTCATTAGGTTTTACGTTATTTACAAACGAACAAAGATTTAAAAACTGACATCAATTTACTTGGAATATATGAAGTAAGGCGTGTACTGGGTACACATTTTTCTAGATGAACATCATCATTTTACATTAAGAAGTAATCTATTTTTAGTTTACCTGCGGTTCCTGCGAAACAGCTGAGCGCAGAAGTCGAAAACACTGCAGTGAAAACACGGGCCAACCACAGGCGATCTTAACCTTCAATTGAGTGCCGATAGCGCAATAGCTTTTGTTCGTCCTGCTGATGAGTTTAAAAATGTAATCAGGCAAGCTTTTGCGTAATGAATATTTCGGTTGCCCGGTGAGTGAAAACACAACTGGTCGAAGCGATGGCGCGCAACATACTGAAGACCAGCCTGGACAGTGCTAAGTTTAGCATTATTTTCCAAGTAAGTGCAAAGCAAAAAGAATCCTATTTCATAGATATCTACAAATTTACTAAACATGCTGCTATAACACGAACGTATGGTAGATTTTATTCAGGTGCATCACGTTTGTTTTAAATGCGTTTATCATCCGGCATGTGGGCCAAGATGTGCTTGGCATTATGAATGTGCGTCTACTTCTTTTGGAGTCGACATTAATTTTTCTTTCGCGCGAGCCGTTGATCAAAGCTTGTCTGTCTGATTCCAAATCGCACAATTGGGCGCAGGTTTTAAACCAAATCTGGTTGTCGTAAGTACATCGATTAGGAACAACAATAAAACAATTGCCATTGAATGAATTCTAATCTCCCACATTTGCAGTGTGCCAATTAGTGCTACTTTTGGTTTTATCCTAACTTACATATGGTTGCATGTGTTGAGTGGTACAGAGGATAAATATTTAGCACAATATCATTATGGATGCTTTGCAATTCTTGTGTCAGTGATCATTGATCAGATGACACAGAGTGTGGTGCTTGTTGCACAAAGTTATTGCTTTGTTAAGTTAAAGGTGAGTGAGAAAATGTTTTCTTTAGTTTTTGACTTAAGTTACGATTTTTTTAAAACTCTATGTGGATAACTTTGTTACATTATGTTCATTTCAATGAATAGATAGATTTTTGCTGTCATTTTATCAACGTTTACTCATGTTTCTGATTAGAATGTTTTCTTTGTGCATTTTTCTGGAACTTTCTTGCGTTTTATGTTTCTTTAACAACAAAACATTGTTTTAAAACGCATATTACTTCAACTTTCAAGAATGATATCGAATATTTTGTTTACAGGTTATTGTAGATACAATTTATGTTATTGTCCGCACAGCCACGTTTGTGATATTGGTTTTGTGGCAACCGGAATATGCGATCAATGCATTTTCCATCGCTCAAGTCCTCTCGTCCATAGTGCTATCTGCATGCTACTATGGCTTCTTCTATTGGTACATTGAAAATCTCAATGTGATCAAAAAGAAGGGCGCTGATTACAAACATCAGTCCAAAATGTTTCAGGATATGCATGACTTTGAATTCAAGAGTATCAGAGAGTTTATGCCGTATTCCATGGAAAATTCAGTACGTCCATGATTTATTATCGTATAAATGGTTAATAAAAGTACTGTTTTTTTTTTACAGGAAAGTCCATTAAATAAGGATCTAGTCATATTAACTGTTAGTTTTGCAAAGCAGAGTTTTGTCAAGCAGATTCTCACTGAAGGCGAGCGATACGTAATGACAATCTCGCCAGTTTTAACTTTTAGTGAACAATCCATGTATGATATTGTTAATAATTTAGGAAGTTTAGCTGCTAGGTACGTTAAAATACATAATGCATTGCTTTCTGAGAATTTAATGATGTATTAATTTCTATTTTACAGATTTGTATTCCGGCCAATTGAAGAAAGCGCTTATTTTTACTTCACGCAGATGATTAGAAGAGAAGTTCCACTTTTACAACAAGACCAAGTACGTTTTTATATATTAATTTTTGCTAAAAGCTTTATAAGATCAAAATGATACGTTTGATGCCATTTTGTGCCGTTTTTATGCATAAAACCACGCAAATAATGCATGATATTACTAATGTTAATTAATTTTTGCGTGTATTTCATTAAAATTTAAAGAGAACTGAAGTTAAACAAAATAAATCCAACAAAACATTCTAAATTTATGATTGGCGAAGCTTTCACTATGTTTTTATATCGTTAGAAAGCAATAGTTGAATCAGCAACCGTACTAAGCCAACTGCTGAAAGTAGTGACGTCGATTGGATTGATCGTAGTGATTTTCGGCCATAACTATTCGCATACACTACTGTACCTGTATGGAGGACACGTGCTCACCGATAGTTATCTCCCAACGACGCTGCTCAAGTGTCACTGCTTCGCCGTACTCCTGTTGGCGGTAAACGGCGTCACCGAGTGTTATGTCTTCGCCACGATGGACAATCGCCAGCTGGATAAGTACAACTACTTGATGGTGATCTTCAGTGTCAGTTTCCTCGCCATCTCGTATCTGCTCACCAATACGCTGGGTCCAGTCGGCTTTATTCTAGCGAATTGTATTAATATGAGTGCGAGGATTGCGCACAGGTTGGTATATTGATACAGCTATAAACATTATAAAACTATATATTTCAATTTCAGCATACATTTCATCCGCAATCAGTACGGAAGTTCCAGTCATCGTCCGCTGGACGGTCTCAAGCCAGACAAGTTTTTCTCCATCCTGTTGGCCGTTTCGTTCGTCGTGACAAAACTTTCAGACGCAAGTTAAACATTTTATACAATCATATATTCCTAACTTATTTTTCTATTCATACATCTATCAGTGTTAGCCGTATTATAATTGACTCATAATTTTTACTTAACTTTACTATGCACTAGTATACACTTTTTATTCTCCCACAGCTTTAATCTCGTTCTAAGTACTTTCGTTTAATTTCGTTTTTTTTTTGTTTCAGATGTACGTCTATCAGTGGTCTATCGTCCTGCACATCTTCATCGGCGGCTTGTGTTGCCTTACCACTCTATTCGCGTGGGCGTGGGAGAATAAGAGCTTGTTGATGTTGGGCGTCGAGCGGTACAAGCGGCGGACGTCGTTGATAAATAAAGATGACTGAGGGTGAAGAATTAAAGATGCGCATTCGCGGCATTCCTATTAATATCCAAATTATCCAGTTCTATTTTCAAGCTATAACTAGAGCAATTTTTCTCAAGTTTGATGAAAATAATACAATTGACAATTCTTTTTCTCTCAACGTAGTATAGCAACAGTTACATTCTTTATTCATGCAAAATCTAATTGAAATGGCGTCCTCAGCACAAAATTTTTACATTATTCGAAACCACGTGAATAAAACTTTTCACTTCTATATTTTTTTATCAGTGAAAGTAGATTAGATATTTATTTGCCAGTCAGGAGGCAAACGAAACAGAATAAAAACTTACATTTTAAACAACACAAGCCGTAACGGCTTTTTTAACTGCATCGCGGGCGTATGGGATGTATGAAATCGAATACCAAGTCATGGCACACGATTGAATAATAATACAAATCAAAGCTAGCGCCGGTTTCTTCCACTGAAAACGCATAAAGCATTAATGGTTGCTTGGAATTTACACAAATCACTTACCAAAAGTGCTGCAAGTAGTGTCAGAATAAATGATGAGATGACTAGAATTGTTGCAATAGCCCTAGTTGCCGCAAACATCTTTTTGAATTGATTGACAGGCCCAACCAGAAAGCAGGTGCTTGCAATTGAGACAACATTCCCCAAGGTGTAAAATACGGCAAACAATTTAACGCCGCCCAAGAATAACGCGAACGAACCCAAAAGTGTGAGTAAAAGGCCTATGATGAAGCAGCCAATGAAGCACTTTACTCTGGTGCTCCAACTTAGAGTAGTTTGATCACGAAACTATGGAAAGAAAATAGAATTGGTAATTAATTTGGTTTGCTGTTAGTGAATGTTAGTATATACTTGTGAGATGATGTTAGTTTCCTCATCGTCCTCCTCGTTGCCACTCAACACTCGCTTAAGTTTATCCATTTGTTTATTATATCGAGCTAAAAATAGATAAACGTATTATTTGGAGGGCGATTGGGGCCCGTTGCACTTGGGTAAGCAGTGTGCAGCACCGCGTGAGGTTTTTTTTTTTGGTGACTCACTGTTTTTATTGCGAAGTCAGATCGACGTTTGAATTTGAAATGTTGTCACCTGTTGCTAGGCCTTTGTGGCAAGGACGAGGTGATCAGTCACAGGACAAAAGCATTCAACAAGTGTCACTGTCAGCTAAGGAAGTAGGCGCAACTCGGAAAACAACGCGGCGCAATCATCACACAATTGCGCTCAAAGCGTAGCAGGAAATACTTCCAACCAATCAGAATGCAGCAAATCAGGCTGTCAAATATAACTTAAAATTAGTTGCTCTACGCTTATTAAATACCAATATTGTATTTAAATTTACATACATTGTTGTTTGTATCAGTTGATTGTTATTTTATTTGGTTTTTAGGTTGAAAAGCGTTTTATTTTGAATGTTTTCTTAGTGTTTTTGAATTTAAGATTAGTTTGAAGTGTTGACATTGATGGCGCCACTGTCTGTCGAAATGCTATAGATCTTTGCCATGTTTGTTTATGGTTAGTTTTGCGATTTTGCAGTTTTTCTCGAAGTGAAAGTGTTGGTGCAACATTTTTATAAACACGAATTGTTTAATAATGGAGAAAAGTGTTAAGCGGAACTCGAAGCAAAGTCCCAACACCGCCGAAGAACAGGATGTTTATAGGGTACATAAAATCTATTGCCGGTGTAGGTTATAATTGACTGAAACCACAAATTTGATGATTTTACAGAATGTTGTGGAGTTTGAGGAAATGGAGGCTCGTACCAGAGATGGTAAAGAAGATGCTACCATTTACCTGAACACCTGCACAGATATAAGAAGGCTGCTAGGTGACATTTTAACTTTGAAATGTAATTCAGTTGAGGTAAAGTTTTATTCAAGAGATTTTTATGTATTTATTAGGAAATGCTTGTTATTTCAACAGAATAAACCTGCAGTTGCAAAGAAACGTGTTGAAGCATGCATGTTAACATCAGTTCTAAAGAAATTAAACAGGCTTGAAAATATTAGATTATCAGCAGCCAGAGATGCAATTGCAACAGAAAAGCAAATGGTGGAAGGTAGATATATGCAATACCAAAATCTGCTCTATGAAGTTGATCACTATGATAGTGAATATAGAAAATGTATGCAGTATATATCACGGGATGAGACAATTGATCTGATCTCAACTGAAGAATTCTTCAAAAATGCACCTGAAGATATCACAAGCAAGTTTCTTGAAGATAATGAAAACAATCATGAATTATACCTGGCCAGACTTGACTTTGAGTTAAAACAGAGAATTAATTTGGCTCTTTTATTAGAGGATCTGAAGGTGGAGAAGAAGAGTGTCAAGGAAGAGATAATAAACCTGAAGGAGAAGTTGGCAGGCTTAGAACCGAAATTGCTTGATGTTGTAGCAGCCACAAAGCCACTGCAGGAATATTTAGGCTTGAATATTGGTGAGATTAATCCCGAACATAAACTCGCCTGCCATCTTCCCGATTATCTTTACTTAATGTACTGCAATACAGACGCGTACAGGCAATTCATTGACAAAGGTTGCATTACGATTGAGATCAAAGGAGATTTAGAAGAGGTTCGTCTGTACAATGAATCACAGAAGGTGTTACAGGATGAGACGGATCACGAACAGGATTTACAAGAGGTAGGAGGCGTATTTTTTGTTTCAAATGTTTACCAAACAAAGATAGTTTTTGTTTTATTAAGTAAATTAATTAAGTCATGCATGAGACTCAGAAAAGTGCAACAAATGTACATAATTATTATATAATTTTCTATATTTCATACATAATAATCAAAATATTCATTGCATTGTAAGAAATAGTCATGTCTTGTTGTTGTGGGTCTTTGTTTATGAGATATAAACTGAAAATTAGCGTAAAATTTAGATTTTGTGTGTTACTGTTTAGGAAACAACCGGAATAAAAAAACATCGTCGTCGGAAAGGCACTGAGGTTGACCGTGAAGAAGAAAAGAAGAAAAACATGCTTCTTAAACATCCGCTGAGTGTGGAAGTAACGATGAAAACCGAGCACGTCACCCTAAAACTCCACTTTTACTATTTGCCAACGCTGCGTATTGTTACAGTCGTATCTACAACGGAAAGTCTTAGTGATGTGCTTAAAAACAGCACATGTGCACAAGTTGTGCTTACTGGCGAAAGCATCCTCAATCAACTCTACCCTAAAGACACTGGCACTGATTCACCGAATCTTGTCAACTACTATCAACTGAAACAGGTGGGTATTGATCGATTCCAGGCGCTCATTTCTCAATTAGGCTATGCCTACGGATGGGCGCAGAAAATCTGCGGTTTGGAGTTTCTGAACATGCAGAACGCCGAAAACCGCTTCAGAAAACACGCCCGAATGTACCAGCATACTGTCGAGGAGTGTTTCACGATCATTGAGCGTCGTTTGAGGGCGCGTGGAGCGCTCGCTATGCAAATGTATAATTTAGAACAGAATTTAATTCCGACGGTGCCAGCGCACATATTGCATCCGAAGAGTGCTTCTTCGACTTTGACCAAATTCGCAACGACGTCCTTCCAACGCTTTTGTCAGGATGCGCTCAATGCGCACACGTTGGTTGACAAAGAGTTGATTGCAGAGGATGATCTCTTCTACTTGGCGGTCATTGAACGACCCAAAGCGTCTATGAATGCATGGATTGCAATCAGAAATGATTATCCGGATACCGTACCGATGTTTGTCTTGCATTTGAAGTATAATGGTGATCATCATAGTGAGAATTCGGATCAGATTCGAGACATGGAGCGGAACGTCAATGGTGATTGGAAGACTCGAGCACGGGGAAAGGATCTTTCGGGGTGTTTACTTGCTGCGCAATTAAAGTACTTGTGTGCGTTTCTCGACGTATATTTGGAGACGAATGATGATTCTGTGTTTTCTAATTCTACGGTATTCTTCCGCCCTGTTTCGTAAGTTTTTGGTCTTTATAATACATATAATGGTTTAAATGTGATATTAATGTGTTTTTTTTTTATAGGGGAAGAACGAGAAGGCGTCCTTTTAAGTTTCATAAAACAGGAAATGGAATCTTTGCTCAGTATTAGTTCCTTTCTCAAAAATACTTTTATATAATGTAAAATCATAGCATTTAATCAAGTAGGTAAGAATGCTGTGTCTATCGATACATCAAGTTTTGTTTTGTACATTTGTCATTCAAAATATTGTAATTTTGGCCATACTTAAATTGTGTGCTGCGTTTCTTCGCAGTATTATTTTATAGTTCCAAATTGTTTGTGTTCCGCTTGCATTCCTTCCAATTGCCTCCCTAACCATCATGGAGAATTTTCGCTATTACCATACGCTGAGTATTCAACATTCGGCTAGTGTGTTAGCTCCACCGCCATCACTAGTCGATTTGCTGGATGATGACGCTGACAGCAGCGATTTCGAGTCCATACAATTCGAAGATAAACCTTTGACGGCTCTGGCAATATCGTCAAAGACAATGCCTTCGATTGGCGTTTGTAGTTTTATACAAAGCGAGTTGCTCAAGATACGACGCGATCTTCAGGAGCTTATCTATTGTCTGGATAAGTTTACTCAGATGTGCATGAATACTTCCGACACTAAAAGAGCTCTTGCAAGCAGGAAGAATGTTTGCGGGCGCAAACAGGGCCGACGGTATTTGATGTCCGATAAGTTCAGCGGATGTCGTCGCCTAAATTGGCAGAATCTTCAGCCGATTGTGGATGAGATTTTCAGTGATCTTCGCCAATTGGAGAATTACAATAAGCAAACAAATGATATAATTCGTCGTATACGGAACGTCTCTGCTCGCGAATTCCACAGATGACAATTTCCGTTTATACAGGCAAGACATTCCGGGCATAAAAAGGGTTTTGAATGTCTGAGTAAATTCTTATATTTCGTATTTTTAAAACAAGATGTTATTATATTCCAACAATAATTGTAAAATTTTAAAGCGAGGTATTTGTTCTGATTTATATATTTTGCGTATATACATACACGATCCAAACATGTAAACGTTTTCAATATTTTTTAAAATTTTGAATCCATCTTCAGCAAGACAGTTTTTTGAAACACATTGTTAGTTTGTACTTGTGTATACTAGCGTCTCTAGTATCGACAGCAGTATTGTGAGCATTCAATTTATTTTTCTAGCTCAGTCAGTCATGCGGTGTGTAGGCGGTTGCATGTTTAATATTTGTCATTACATGCGTTTTTGGCAGCTACTTCTTTCATTTCATCCGTTTTTAAAATTCACGGCTTTAGTGTCGACGTGCCGACGACTGTCGGCCATTCTATCATTTTCAGTGGCTACGAATTCAAATTGCCCTTTGTTATACCGGTAACTTGTAACGCTTGTAAATATATGTTTATATCCAGTTCATGAAGTATATTACTTTCAAGTATAGATATACTTTTTACGGTTATATATAACATTGATTCTTCTTTATATAGCTTATTTCAAGAAATTCAGATTGAAATGGCAGAATGACGTGTATTAGAGCAAGAGAGAAATATCTAAAATTTCATGTTCAATCAATGTTATTCAATGTTATTTTCTACGCTTTTTGTTTTGTGATTTTCCACCTGAATCCGATAGCGTAAAAGAACCATTCTTACACCAGATTGTAAGTAATAAAAATGTCTATCATTTTCATAAACAAAATTGGTGATTATCTCACGAATTGACCCCTAAAATTGCATTTTTATGTTAGGATGGACTAATTTTTGATTGTTTTTTGTGTTTTTCGACCTGAATCCGTTATCGTAGATGAACCATTCTTACATCAGATTGTAAGTATTAAATTTCTCTATCATTTTCACAAACAAATTTTGTGATTATGTCACGAATTAACCCCTAAAATTGGATTTTTGTGTTTCGAAGCATTCATTTTTGATTGTTTTAGGGATTTTGGACCTGAGCCCGATATCGTAGAAGAACCATTCTTGCATCAGATGGTGAGTATTAAATTTCTCTATCATTTTCATAAATAATTATAGTGATTAGCTCATTAATTAGCAACAAAAATGGCATTCTTGTATTTCGATTGACAAATTTCCCCTTATATGACAATTTTCAATGTGCTAATCGAGAATTATTACAGTTTCCCGCAACGTCGTTCCAGTTCCTGCTCTCGAAACTAGATGGCGCTAGGTATTGTTCACACTACTCTGTAAATTAGTTATCGTAATTAGTATCGGATTCATCCGGATAGCAACCAAAATCAATATTTTCCACTTAGTCTGTCCCGCGCGTTTGTTCAAGTATTAATTCGTGAAAATAAAGCATTTGTGTTCCGCCTGTGGAAAATTTGTTAGTGCAAAAATATTAAAGTGAGTAATTTCTAACAATTTGCCGAAACGTCTTTGTGCACTTTAGTAAGTACTTTATGGATGAATGAACAAAATAGTTGACTTAATGTTACGTATAAAGTAAAATTTACTTCTGTTTAACTTTTTAATTTTTACAGTTGCAATTGCATTACTATAATAATTAATGTATATGATTCCGCTAATAAAGGATAATTTTAGCGAATTATAAATGAATTAAAGTCACAAATCACAGCGCATCTGATTTGTGTTTGTTTTTAGATGTCAAGGAGTTGAACGTGACATCGGTGTACAATTGTGCCCGCATTCAATTGTGAGTATCGAAATTCTTGTCATTTTCATATCTGCTTTGTTCACGTAGCCAGCTATATATCTTTTCCTTCTTTAGTCGATCGTGCGATGTTGTTCGGTACACACGTGTTTTGTTCACAAGTCGATCTTCGTAACTAATTTACGCGTTTCTTGTGATTTTAAGTCGGTAGTTGAATTAGAATCGATCAGCAAAGGTAACATTTAGAATTAACGGACTAGTGCGGCGTGCAGTTAATGAACCATCACGGGTGGAAGTCAGAATTGTGCAGTTTTACAATGTGCGCTCTTTTTTGCCGTCGGCCGTCGGATATCTTACGTTGGCTAAGAAGTCCGTCCCAGTGGTTTTATTTGCATAATGATATTAATTTGTGAAACTAAACACTGTTTGTCCCCGTGTGGAACATTTTAATCGAGAAAGTGCACGTAGGTAACTGCAACATTAACATTGGACGAATTAAACAATTAGTGAAGATGTTTCATGGACGAAATGAATTTATCAGACGTTAAGGAAAAGCGAGGTAACCGTTGAATAAGTAAATACTCTGAAAATAATTCAATTTTAACAAATAATTTTAAATTTCAACATGTACTTTTTTGATTGTACGAGTTGCAATAAACTATTCTTTTAATATTACATTTGCTAGTATATTTGTTTATGTTTTTCCTTTTTGTTGTTTTCAGAATTAGATTTAAAGACCACATTAAATAGTACGTGTTTGAATTGCGAATAACAGGTACATAAATGCTGTTGTTTTTAAAAAGGTAACAAAAACAACAACATTTATACCTGAAACGAATAGGCTTTGATATGAGAGCTCGGGGGCTCAGCTGGCATGTGCGTACGCTAGCAGGCTAGGGATTCGTTGTTCATGGTTCGAATCTCAGTTGTAGAAAGCAGTTTTATTAAATAATAATAAGAAATTTAAGAAATGTGGGTTGCATACCATAAAAATATAGATTCGAATGTTAGGAAGAAGTTGAAGATGTATGTTGCAGAGTACGGAGCAACAATAGGAATAAGTAGAAGATGATGATGAAAGAGCAAGTAAGTAAGGAGAGCAACAGGAGGGAAGAGGAGAAGTAAGAAGAGAAGAGAAGAGTATAAGAAGAAAAGAGAATAAGAGGGGTGACAGAATTTTTAAATTTTTTGGCACGTGTCGTTATAAGACAGTCTACGGCCCACTGCTTCGATGCGTCCATTGCTCCCGGCCCATCCTACAGCTACGATATCTCTGCGCTTCATCCCCGAAATACTCAGGCATATCAACAATTTTTATGGTGGGGGATCATCCCCAGAGAGAGGGAACTCCTTATAAGGACATTCTTCTAAGGACTTGTTCAGATGTTTCTAAGTTTTAAGTCGCCGCAAGAGAGGGGACACTTAAAAATATTCTTACAAGTTCTGACCTGTAGCTGAAATGAAAGATGGAGTACACAAATCATACAGGATACCTTAACAATTTTTATAGAGGGGATCATCCCCTGTGAGGGGGAACTCTCTTAAAGACCTGTACCTGAAATGATAGAAGAGGTACATTCAAAACATAAGACATAATATTTCTTAACATTTCTTTATTAATAAATACAATGTAAAATAATACAAGTTTATATTTTACAAGTCAACAGTATACATGCCGCCAAATTGAAACAGGACTTATGACCTGCACAGCCGCGCATATGCCATCAAGTACTACTACTACTTCATAAAGATATACCGGAATATTGAAATTAGTAAATAGCCAATTTTCTAGGAAAATGAAAATGGAAACTAATATACAGGGTGTTACAAAAGGAAAATTTAAAGTGCGGACAAGTAAACATCAAAACACTCAAATATCGCTCGTTTTTCACCGTTACTCTGGAAAACAAATATACAGGGCGTTACAAAAAGAAAATTCAAAGTGCAAGAAGTTAAATTCTAATAACAGTCGAAGCAAAATTTTCAGGGATGTGAAGGAAAGCGATTATACAAGGTGTCACAAATAGAAAATTCAACCATCAAAGAGGAAAACATCAAAACACTACAAATATTGCTCCTTTTCACCCGATGCTCCGGAAAACTAATAAACAGGGTGTTATAAAAAATTAGAATGAAAAAAGAAGGCTCTAAAACCACAGCTGAAAGAAAATTTTCACACGCACGCATTTCCTAGTAATAACAAATTATAAAAAGAAAATATTATACAGGGTGATATCGAAAGAAAAATTATGTTAAAAAACACCTCAAAACAACTTCCATTTATAGCTGGACGTAAAGGAAAATTACTATACTGGGTGATACAAAAAGAAAATTCAATGTTTGGTCAATTTTTGATTTGAAATTTGAAAGGAAAATAAAAATGCAGGGTGTTACAAATAGAAAATAACAATATATAAAAAGAATATGTCAAGTTTAAAAAGGAAAACATCAGGAAACACCAAGAAAGACGTTCAACCCCATTATTCGACTGAAAATAATTATAAATACGATGTTTTTCAACCCGACAATTAAATTTAATACACAAATATAGCTATTTTTGAAGCGCATTTTAGGGCACTTCCGAAAGGGCTAAAAGATTAAAATGATATGCATCGTGTAGATATAGGTACTCTCGAACTCTAATCTGACGGTAAGAAA